ATTTCGATCACGTGGTGAGGTCCTGGATAGGTTATGATAATCATGGCAACATTGTACCTGAATTTGTGAAGTTAGGACCAAAATACTTTTCAAAAATCCAAAAAAGATCAATAATTATAATTATTTTAGTTAATAAAAGTTTTATAATGCTAATTATAGAAGTAGATAATAAGTATTGGATTCGTCCATTAATTTTGATATTACAATTGGAAATCAATTTACATGTGAATTTGAAAACATTCCATGAATATACGTAGTTTTTCTATAAAAAAACTTGCAAAAAATGGAAGCTTCCACAGAAACTTGTCTCGGTGATGGTGAAATAAGAAGATTGTTTAGTGATGATCGTAGCCATTAACATGTGTTTGCTTCTCTGAGTATGTTTCCTTGGCTGGTGCTGTCATCATGTGAGAGTTTTCCTCTCTTCAAAGATCAAGAACCACATTCAAAAACTACCACACATTTATCTTTTATTCATTTTAAGAGCCACGTGTACCACAGGTCAAATCGACAAGATGTTATATTCATCGGTTAATAATTAAGCCAAACATCTTCTTCCGACACACAAAAAACATAAGCAAAAGAGAAAACACTGGACCGACAAGAGTAAGTTCTTCTCTCTCTCTCTCTGATATATTTGTGCTACATAGCTACCTCACATACACAGTTTTCTTCATTAAGCTTAAGCACGATATAGTTAAGAAGCCTTTTTCGTTCGTTTCTCCTCCCTGGAAGAAGCCGGAAAGTGAGGATAGCATCAGCAGCAGCAACTTCCTCCCTCGGTCTGTAAATTTACCCTCGTATATATACAAAGGTATGGTCTTACTTTATCCGTTTTCTTTTCATCATAATCTTTGTGGCTTTATCTGTTTATCTGTCGGTAAAGCAATTAATGAATACATGATTGAATATGTAAAATCCGACTTTGCTTCTTCCCCATCTTTCATCATGAAAACCAGAATAATTAATTAGGATTACAAAACAACAATGTGATTTTAATTCCATAATTTTTTATACACTTTTCTCGGACTCTGTTATTGCCTAGATACTTAATTCTTTTACCCATAGACAACACTTTTTAAGACTATGAAACTAAAAATTATTACTATTACTATTATTATAATAATAATTATTAATAATCGTATATTTTTATAAGAGTGGAGATATAGGAAAACGATAGGTTTTGATTACAAGCTAGAGCGTCGGTTTGTCCCAGTGTGGGTAATCTAATATTATGTTAAATATTCGTCAGGTCATTCTTATATATATATATATATATATTATATATATATTATATATCTAGCTATATATATATATATCTATATATATATCTATATATGGGTTTGCTAACGCGCGTACGCCTGTTTTTCAGTTGGTACATTTTAACAATGTGTACCGGATTTTAGTAGGCAAAAATACTCTTATATATCATGAATTCTAAGTTTTAAGGTTAAGGGTATTTTAATAATTTTCATTCTTAAAACTTAAAAAAAAAAAAAAAACCCCCGCAAACCCTTACTCACATCTCTCATTCCTCTCAATCCTTTCTCTTTCATCTCTCTCACTCCAACCTTTTCTCTGTCATCCCTACGTAGCCCCAATTGCAAAAAATCCAGAACACTTGCCTTTAAACAATTTGTCTTTCTACAGAGTGAGTCATTGACATATATTCACCCTTGAGGCAAAGGTTTCATTCAAGATCTCTTCAATTTATATCTTACTCTATATTAATTACAAATCTAACAATATTAAAAAAAAAGAAATCGTAATAGAAGGAAAATCATGAAATAAATCCGAAGGAATAGTATGAAAGTAGAGAAAATAATTTTAAAGCATAATCTATAAAACTCTAGAATGTAGTGTTGTGTATCTTGAACTCTAATACTAACTTCTTAAGTTTTAGTGGCTACAATATTCCCTCCCCTAAAGAGGAAAAAAAGGCATAGTATATATAAAAGAAAAGAAACCATGTGGATGGATGGAATCAGATTTCGTTTGAGATGAAAAGGCAAACAGTACTGTAATAGTATTTCTTTATTTTACTAAAAAGAATTATGACATGTAATTATAACTAAGTACTTACTCAAACAAGTTAATATTTAAGTAGTTAAAAAAATAATTTAACAATATTTTTTTATGCAACAATAATCAACTAGAAAATGAGAAAAAATTGCTTTATATTGAATAAAAGAATTAAATTGCTTATATTGAATTATAAATTAATTGCATTATATTGAATAAAAGAATTAAATTGCTTATAATGAAAATTAAACTCCATTCTTTATAGTTTAGTTTAAAAAAAAAATTGGACTTCTAAACTACTTATTAACTTAAAATTAATTTAAAAATAAAATATATAGTCATTATTTAAAAATATTTTTAAAAAATTAAAGTAATGTAAATAATAAGTATAGAATAACAAAAAAAAAACACAACATTAAAAACAAACATCGCAAATAACCCCTTAATATTTTAAAAATAATAGCTTTTTGATGCGTGAACTTATTTTATTTACTAGCTTATACCTTACGTTCACTTTCTTAAGTTACTTCTACCACATGAAAAACTAATTCATAAACTATCAGTTATTTAATTTCTATTCTTATTAATTTATTTAAAATCTATTTAAAATTTGTTCACTTGAGTGGATTTGGGAAGAGTGATGAAGGGGATTTGAGAGAATTTGAAGGTAAATTTTGTTGTTTATTTGAATAGATTTGGAGGTAAGTGAGAGTGAATTTTGAGGTAAAGTTTGTAAAAATTAGTGTAAGATTTGATGACAGATTAAAAAAATTACTTCTAAATTCACTTCCACTTACCTTCAAACCTCAAAATCTACTCAAATAAACAATAAAAAATTTATTTTCAAATTCTCTTAAATCTCCTCGATCACAAAAGGTACAAGTAGTATGACTGTCAGGTCATTTTGTAATATATAATAAATTTAGAAAATTTAATAGAAATGATAGTATTAATTTTATTATCAATAATAAAGAATAAATATAATATCATACAGTAATGATATAAAATGTTTTTAAATTATCACTCAATCACAAATAATTAAATAAAATAATAACATTTACATATTTTTAATAGAAATTAAAATGATATTTTTATAAATTGTTTTGAATATTTTTAAGGTCACGTACTAAAACTATAACACTCTACATTTTGATTATTACTTCCTCCATCCCATCAGATTTCTTCCAGTATCCTATCACTCTTGGAAATTATTTTTGAGAACACAATAAATAATTTCGGATTTTCTTTTTCTGAAAGCAATCTTCCCTTCTATCACGGAAAAAAAAATCAGGAAACCTTGATGGGTTAGATGAGAAATTTGATGGGGGTGTAGAAAACAATAGCCTTACATTTTATATGTTTTTGTTTGTTTGAGAACACGTGTAGGCCCAAAAGCTTCATTTTAGGTTTACTATTATTTTTGTAGTGGGCTTTTGTCTCATGCAACTCCACAATTTTTTTAACTCAATTTTTAAAATAATTATTTTATCTTTTTTAAAAGTGATTTTCAGAAATTTGTACAAAGAAATTAAAACATTTTTTTTTATCAAAGTACACAGATTAAAAATGTTGATTTTAATTTAAATAATAGGAAATAATTGAAGTTTTTAAAATTAAATTGACAATATCATGTAAAAAAACTTTCATTCTGGGATATGTTTAAATGAACCCTTCACAACTTTTCACTGCATTGACACAATATTATGCATTTATTACTTATTATAGCTTGTTAACTAAAAACTCTTAAGACTTTATGTTTTTTTATTTTGATGATGAATATGTTTCTTTAAACTTATTTTTTAGAAAACAAATTAATAAATCTTTTATCATGTTTAAATACTTTTATTTAAAAATGTTATAGCAGTATATCTCTTAATCATGTCAAATTACTATACAGTTAAAGAAAACTTAAAAAAGCAACAAACAAAAAATACTATTGCATTATCTCATATATGTGTACTAAGTTACATTTAGTAAACATAATTAAAAAAAAAGTTAGAAATGAAAAGAAAATGGTGGATAATCAAGGGCAATAATTTGTTAATATATTTTATTAAGTTATAAGTATTAATAAAGTGTTATTACTTTAAAAAACATCACTTGAAGAAGTGCATATTTAAAAGGACAAAAATCATTGTAAGTATGTAAGTATATGTTTTTATATGCTAAAATAAGTTTTTTTTTAACTTTAAACTTCAATATAAAATTACAATTTTTTTATGTATCAAACTTTAATATAGTTTAGTATTAAGGTTAAAAAATGAATACATATAATCTTATGAACTATCTATGTAAAAAATATTGACATGTTAAGTTGTATTTTAGGTTAAAATTTGAACAATTTATAATATTTAACATTTTCTAAAAGAAATTAATATCGTTAGATTGAAAAATATATATTTATTCATTTTTTAAATTCAGATAAAAAGTATATTCAAATTTAAAACAATAACGAATTTTAAATTCACCTTTAAATTTAAAGACTTAACATATATTATAATTATGTAAAGAAATTGATTTTTCAATGATTTTTTTTTATTTCTATCAGAGAGGAAAAATAAGTTAATGAAAATGGCGAAAAATAAAATACAAATTAATGATATTTAATTTTTAGAAAAAATGAACAAATGATATAGTGGATAATCTATTGATTTAAAAATAATTTAATACTATAAATTATACGATTTATTTTAAATTCTAAAAATGTAATTTATATTACTAAGTATTTATTTATTAAAATTATATGATAAAACTAAAATTTAAGAATACATATTAATTTTAAGTTATAGTTATGTATAAAAACGTATTCTATCATCCTGAATTAATAGTTAATTTTTTCTATTAAAAACAATTAATAGTTGAGTTCCAGATTTGAACTGCTTGAAAATTTTCTCCTTTGGGCAGGGAAAATCTATTGAGAATTTGAGATTCCAGAATTTAATTTAAAGGTTAAAAATATCAAAGGAGAAGAAAGGCAGAGAGGGAGACACATGACACCAAACCTGAAAAGGATAAAACAAAAATCAATATTCTTGTTTTGTGTCTGTCTGAAAAACCAAGGGTGATGCTGTGTGCACCACCATTCCAAGATGCCATTTATTCTTCATCCTTCTAAATTTCTTTGCTTTCCCAACTGCACAACAATACCAGTTAAGGACACCACTCTTTTGGCCAACACCTTCGTCAAGAAACCAAACACCATTCCCAGTAAGCACCAAAAATTTCGTTCTTTTGCTAAGATTACTCTTTCCAGTCCCCGTGCATCCATAGTTTCTAAGAAAGATTCAATTTTGGGTTATACCCACTTCACAATTTGCTCCAGGAGTGATGGGTTTGGTGGATATTCCACTGATGTGTCTCAAGAGGCTATCGATGATGAAACCACCGCTCAAGAACTTGAGAAGCTTGAGTTACTAAACAAGCCTTCTCCTGTGCTTGTTACAGAAGAGCCTTCATCTGAATCGTCTGAAGTTGAAGTGGAACAGCAAGAAAAGCCCTCGGAAGAGGAGGCTTTGGCACCTTTCTTGAAGTTTTTCAAAGGTAAAAATTCCGGGGAGGATGACGAGGAAGAGAGGGAGGGGTTGGAGGTTGAGAATGAAGAGGGAGATAAGAAGGTTAATGTTGAGTACTATGACCCAAAACTTGGAGATTTTGTGGTGGGTGTTGTTGTTTCAGGTAATGAAAACAAGCTTGATGTCAATATAGGGGCAGACTTGCTAGGTACAATGTTGACCAAGGAAGTGCTTCCCTTATACGATAAGGAAATGGAGAGCTTGTTGTGTGATGTGAACAGGGATGCCGAGGATTTCATGGTTCAGGGGAAGATGGGAATTGTGAAGAATGAGGAGGCAATAAGTGGAGTAGCAGTGGCCGGAAGGCCTGTTGTGGAAATTGGAACCGTTTTGTTTGCTGAGGTTTTAGGTAGGACATTTAGTGGCCGACCATTACTTTCCACCAGAAGACTCTTTCGCCGGATTGCCTGGCATCGACTGAGGCAGGTTTTTCTCTATCTTTTCTTCTTCTTTCCCACACCAGTATGGTAGATATTCCAACTTCTATGCAGAATTTTTTAACGAGGCATTGAGACATTCTTGCATTTTCTTGGTGTATCTGTAATGGATGCGTATTAGACACATTTGGATACATTACGTTTGCATATTCGTGAAATGTCCAAACCTTTTGTTTTGTTTGTTTTGAAAATCTGAGATTGCTGGATACTCCGCAATATGGCTAGAGAGAGGGAGTTTGGATTGGATATGTATCAATATGGATCCTTCAATTTTCTGATTTTTCATTTTCCTCTCACTATATGACATGAGATGTACAAATTATAAATTAGTAATATATATCAAAATTAGAACTTGGTCACTGGAAAGAGCACAAGTTGCAGGCACATGACGAGCAAAACAAGGAAATTTTCCTTTTCTTCTTTGAATGATATTCAAGGAGAAAATAAGATTGATACTACTGCTTGTTGGCAATGGGCAGTGATTTATTACAGCATAATTTATAATTTTTTATTCTATTTTTAGTACTGCTGGTGAAGCATGCTTAGTTTGCATTTTTTGAAACTGCAATTAAATATTTAGTATGTTTTATGACTTTTATGCATATCCATATATGTGTGTTTCACATATGATATCCTTTATATCTTAAAAATAGGATACACCTGGTATCTGATAGTTGCCTTCTCCATGCTTCCTTTTGGGTTTGTCAGTTCTTATGGCTACTTAATTGTAAAAATATAATATTCAAGAAATGACATCTGTCCTCCGTTTAATAGTGACAACAAATTGGTCCTTCTATGATATTCGATGCCAATTTTGTCTTTCAAGGGTCAATTTTGTGTGTTTTTAATTACTAATTTGATGGAACAAATATGAGATTGAAGGATCACTTTTGCATTGTGTATTTGCATGACCAATTTTGATATTAATGTATTATAAATTGAGGACGAATATGATACTGTGTATGTTTAACAGGCCAAATTAGACATTTACGGTGTGCTAGATTGTGTTTTTGTTGTTTTAAGTTTCTAAAACTACCTCTCTCGGTCCTTAAAAAAAGGACCAGAGGTAGTATTTTATCAAACAACTTTCAAAATCTAATTTTTGCAGAGTAGGAGTGAAAGGATGGGACAATGTAGGAAGAATATATGAGTAATAGGAAATTGATAGTAGAAAACCAAAACAACTTAGGGATGTTTTATTTCTTTTTATTTTAAAACAGACAAAGAAAGATTGTTTTTCGAAACAGTTTTGGAAAACTATTTATCAAGCAAATTCACTCTTCCTAAAAACAGAAAATAATCGGAAAGGAACAGGTTGTTACTCTTTATTCATATTTATCCTGAAATTTTAGTGCGAAGGAAAACATAGTTTGATCTAATACTAAAATCTATGCCCATGATCTCACGAATGCTGTCTTATCCTTGTTCCAATCTTATCCCATGTACAGTCAAATAACATTTTTCTGATGCTGGTGAGATTTAAATTTACAATTTTTTTAATGTTTTGGGCAGATAAAACAGCTCAATGATCCTATAGAGGTTAGAATCACCGAGTGGAATACTGGGGGCCTGCTAACAAGGATTGAGGTCTGTGCCATTGACTTGAAATTTATGTTCATGTGGCACTCATGTAGATGCTTATCTCTTTCTGAATTTGTATGGGCAGGGTTTGCGAGCTTTCCTACCCAAAGCTGAGCTTGTAAAAAAAGCAACTAGCTTTACAGAATTGAAAGAACATGTAAGTTGCAGCCTTGGAACTTTCCACTAAGCCATGGAAAAAAAAACATTTTTCTTATTGGGATGGCTTCTGCCGATATTCTTATTTTATTGTCTATTATTTGGTAGATCTGTTGATAACAATATGTATAGCTTCACAAATGGTACCATTGCATTAAGTTTAATTCCTATATAGCCGCTGTCTGAGTGCAAATTTATGCTTTAAGTAAAACTAGTTTCTTTTTTAAGGTTTTATACAAGTCCGATCCTCGAGTGAGTAGCTAAAGATTTTGAATACTGCATAGTGATTAGTGGTTAAGCATCTAAGGAAGTTCAGACCTAGTAGTCAAAATGATGTTTTATGTTGTTCTGTATTCTTTAAAATACCCCAAACATAATTTAAATTCACATATATTATTATGGGGTTTATATTGTGAAAAGTGATGATCTTAAAGTTGTCATGCATAATAGGGTATTGCTTTATGAGCTTCCTCTTGGTGGTATACATTACAATTTCAAGTGTTCAGCAAATTAGCCGAAAAGATTCTGTATTTCTTAACAAAAACATTATTTCTTGTATTTATTGTTTCTTTTTCACTGCTACTTACCACCACTTGATTACAATGACGTAGGTGGGGCGCCGCATGTATGTACAAATTACTCAGATAGATGAAACTAAAAACAATTTAATACTTAGTGAAAAGGAAGCTTGGGTTAGTATTCAACTCTTCCTATTTCCTATTCTTCCTTCTTCTTTTGCTTTATTTTTTCAAGGGATATTTTTAGGCCTTCCTTTTTCTTCTTGGTCTTCTGAAACTTCTAGTGCACAATATATTTCAGGAAAAATTGAATCTTCGTGAGGGAACACTTCTAGATGGGACTGTGAAAAAGATCTTACCGTATGGAGCCCAAATTAAGCTAGGAAAAAGTAACAGAAGGTCAGTCACTGATTGGATGTGAATTGCTTTAGCCATTTTTTTTTATCTTGTTTGATAAATCACAACTTGATTCAAAGGGATTCCCCTAGGTATTGTTCTTTTTTCAAGGGTGACCCCATCGTAGAGAATCATTGAATGGTTCCAATGTGAAGAAAAGAAAACTTGATTCAAGTCCTTTTCCTATACATGGCTACAAGTGTTTTCATAACCGAATATTTGCGTTAGATAATAGCATGCTTTTATAATCTTTGACATGATCAATTGGTGAATAATAGCTCTGCTGCAGATGATATTATTCTGTAACATATCTAGATTCAAGGTACTAATACGAGTCACTTTCTGACTAGATTCCTCTGAGATCTTTAATATAAAAAGAGAATATTAGAGAACTTAGTGTGCCCCATTTTACGGATCCATTAAAATTCGTGTAAAACGGTAGTCCATCTCCTATTTGAGGTGTCTGCCTGAAGTAACCAATGTTTAACCATTTATCTTAAAAAAATTTCACAACCTAGCCTGAAAAAGTAGTAATTCATGCTTCAGAGATAACTAATAGGAAAAAAATGCAAAATAAAAATCTTGAACCCCTATAGGAAAAGTTACATTTTAACAGATAAGAGCACAATTGTGTACTTTACATAAAAAGAAATGTTGAAGTTCCAAAAGAAGCATTTGAAGTTTTGAGCAGCACTATAGCAGTCTTAGGTTCATAAGAATTGTTTTCCTTTAAATTTCAAAACAACATAAAAGATGTAAATATTTCCTCAATTGTCTGCATTGCTTTTATCAGACCATTTTAAGCATTGTATTTAAACCCAAAGTAGACACAGCATAAATGTAAATTTAATTGGTATTCGTGCAACTTGTACTGAACATGGATTCTCTTTCTAAATGAAGTGAACAAAAGTAAGGTTTTTATCACTCCTTTATATTCTTTTAATCACCAATTCTGATTTTTCGCTCAGCGCAGAACACCCACACACAGCTCTATGGTGGAACTCAGACATGTAGGCACTCACAGAATTACTGCAAACTGTATATTTTCATTGCTTCCCTTCAGGTTACCCTGAAGGGGTGCTTTTATGCAGACTTCTTACCCTTTTTATTCAAGGGTTATAACCTGTTAGTTTTCTGTTTAAACCCTAATTATTACTCTGTTAAAGAAGTTATTACTTTGAACAAAAATAAGGTTTTTATCAATCCTTGCATAATCTTCTTTGTTATTTCCCTACCTTTCATGGTTTTATATTATTCCCATTCTCATCTGTTATATCACTGATCTATCTCATCTGCCCCATGGTTTGGCTGCATCGTTGTTAAGAGGCTTCTTAGACATTTTTATCGACATGAAGATTTATATATCAACTTCATGACTTTTATTCTTAAAGTTGGATTAAGCCAGCTTACAAAGACATGACATTTTAAAATTTAAATATTACTATTTGACGCCTTTCAGTGGGTTGCTGCATGTTTCAAATATCTCTAGAGCTGAAATTACTTCTGTCAGTGACGTACTATCTGTTGATGAGAATGTCAAAGTTCTTGTTATGAGGTCAATGTTTCCTGATAAAATTGCTTTAAGGTAATGGATTACAGACTTTAACTTTCTTCTGTAATTGTTGGGTACATTCAGTTTATTCCTGTTTCTCTAATAGCTGACTTTAACTCCTTTTACTCTTCTTGCTATGCAGCATTGCTGAACTTGAAAATGAACCTGGCCTTTTTCTATCAAATAAAGAGGTATATATTTATTATTTTCCTAATAAGACACTGTTTTGATAAACTTCTCAATAAGTTCTTAGAAGAGAAGGAAATGAGATGGTAACACATAAGCTAAAAACATCCTATGCACCTTAATATTTATAAAAGTTATCTCGTTTAAGTTCCATGAAAAGTTTATTTCATTTTTGTTCTCTTATTTTCTTTTTCTATTAGTGATTATTGAGAAGTTTATCCAAACAAAGTCAAAGTTCTATTTGATTTTAGTTGGACTGATATTGATAGACGTGTAATATTTTTTATCATGAAAAGAGAGTTTATCTGGAGGCTGATATGATGGCAAAGAAATACAAGCAAAAGCTACCTCCTTCTGTCGAAACTC